AATTTCGAATGTGGATCATAAGAAAATTCAATGACCTGCAAGAACAATTTGATAACCAACACAAAGAAACCACAAAAAGATTCCAGGACCTGGAACACAAATTCACTAAAGAAATTGATACAATGAGAAAAGTTTAACCGAACTCCTGGAAATGAAGAATCAATCAGGAAACTACAAATACAGTGTGAAAGCTGAAGAACAGGGAATCAAACAGAAGAAAAATCTTGAGATTAAAGATCACCTTCCAATTAAATAAATCAGTCACAGGATTAGAGCAGAGAAACAAGAAAGAGCAAGCCTACAAGAAATGTGGGATTATGAGAAGAAACTAATGTGGAGGGTCATAGGTTACCAGAAGGGGAAGAAGAAAACACCCAAGGGTTGGACAAGGTATTTGAAGATACGATAGAGGAAAATTTCCCAGACCTTGCTAAAAATCTCGATATACCAGTTCAAGAAGCTCAGAGGACCCCTGGGAGATTCAATGCTGACCAAAATATCAACTAAAGAGCCCTTCTAAGAGCTGTAAGACAAAGAGAAGCAACAACATACCAAAGGAAAGCCAATCCGAATAACACCGACTTCTCTACTGAACTCTACAAGCAAGGAGAGACTGGGGCCCCATTCTCCACTCTCCTGGAACAGGAACAATACCCAGCCTAGAATCTTTATTCCTTGCCAAACTAAGTTTTGTTATTTAAGAGAAACAAGCAATCTCAGATAACGCAAAAAACGAGGGAATTCACCAAGACAAGGACCAGCCCTTGAAGAGAGTCTCAACGCAGTGTTACCACACGGATCAGACAATAAACTTGACGCAGTGTAAAATCTACTGCAAAGCTAAGATCAAAACCAGATACCACAATTGCTAAGATAGACAACATAACAACACAAGTCACCCAACATAATGAACAGAAATCTGCCCCACCTATCAGCTATCTCAATAAATGTGAATGGCTTGAACTCCCCACTCAAGAGACATAGGCTGGCCGAATGGATAAAATAAAACACAAGCCAAGTATCTTATGCCTTCAGGAAACACATCTAACCTGCAAGGATGCATTTAAGGACTAAAGGTAGACTAAAGAGAGAATAGACAGCAATAAATAAGTAGGGGAAAATACCCTGCTTTTAAAACAATGGGGCAGATCAGGCAAAAAATCTATAAGGAAAAAGTGGACTGAAACCACACTCTATTTCAAACAGACTTGATAGATATATACAGAACATTCCATCCAACTGCAGCAGAATATACATTCTTCTCAAGCACACATGAAACATTCTCCCAGGATAGATATGTTATACTACAACAAAGACTTACAAATTAAGAAGATTGATACCATATCAAATATCTTTCCAACCTGATGGTATAAAACTAGTTATTGATAATAGGAGGGATCTTGGAAAATTTACAAATATGTAGAAATTAAACAGCACACTTCTGAACAACCAATTGGTCAAAGAATAAATTAAAAGGGACATTAAAAATATCTTAAGACAAGCAACAATGGAAATACAACATACCAAAATTTATGGGATACAGAAAAAGTAGTTCTAAGAGGGAAGTTTATAGTGATTAATGCCTACATTAAGAGAATTAAATATTAAATCTTAAATAAACAAATTTACACCTCAACAAACTAGAAAAAGTTCAAAACCAGCAGAAGAAGAAAATAATGGAGATTAGAGCAGAAATAAATAGGGACTAGAAATACAAAGGAAAAGACCAACAAAATCAAAAGTCTTTTTTCTTAAAGATAAAATCCTAGTTAAACCAAGGAAATAGAAGACTCAAATAAATAAACTCAGAAATTAAAGAGGCATCATTACAACTAGTACCACATAAATACAAAAGATTCTAAGAGACTACTAAGAAAGATTGTGTGCCAAGCAAAAGGACAACCTAGAGAAAATGGATAAATTTCTAGTAACATACAACGTACTAAGCTTTAATAATGGAGAAATAGAAAATCCGAATAGATCAATAAAGAGTAAAGAGATTGGATCAATAGTCAAAAATTTCCCCACAAAGAAAAGCCAAGAATCTTATGGCTTCAGTGGTGAAATTTTAATGAAGAATTAATGCCAATTTTTCTCAAACTGTTCCAAATATTAAAGAGGAAGAAACAATTGCAAATCCATTTTACATGGCCAACATTACCCTGATACCAAAGCCAGACAAGGACACTACAAGAAAAGAAAATTACAGGCCAATATTCCTGATGAACATAGCTGCAAAAATCTTCAGCAAAATACTAGCAAACTGAATTCAGCAGCACATTGAAAGGTTCATGTACCATAATCAAGGGTGATTTTTCATGGGACTCAAGGATGATCCAACATGTGAAAATCAATCAATGCAATACACCACAGCAATGGAATGAAGGATAAAAGTCATATGATCATCTCAATAGATGCAGAAAAAGAATTTTACAAAATTGAATATCCATTCATGATAAAAAAAAAAACCTCTCAAGAAAATAGAGGGAATATACCTTAACAAAGAAGGTATATATGACATGCCCAGAAGTATCTTTAGACTCTATTCTGAAGAGCTGAAATCCTTCCTCTAAGACTAGAAACAAGAAAAGGATGTTTATTTTCAGCAATTCTATTCAATAATATACTGAAAGTCCTAGCCAGAGCAATTAGACAAGGTAAAGAAATAATTTAAAAATAGAAATAACATAATATGCAGCAATTCTACTACTGGGTATATATCCAAAGAAAATGAAATCAATATGTCAAAGAGATATCTTCACTCCTGTAGTCAGTGCAGCATTATTCACAATAGTCAGGAGATGGAATCAAAGTGTTCATCAGTGAATGTTAATGGATAAAGAAAATGCGGTGTGTATACACACAGATTCCAGTATATAATATTATAGAATGTTATAATGGAATACTATTTTAGTATATGTGCTGCCAAAGTGAGCACATATAATGGAATACTATTATATATACAATGAAATACTATTCAGCCTTAAAAAAGGAGAGAATAAACATGAATAAACCTAGAGGACATTATGTTAAGTGGAATAAGTCAGACACAGAAAGATAAATCCGTGGTCTCACTTATGTGTGGAACCTAAAAAATATCAAATTCATGGAAGCAGAGTGAAATGGTGGTTTCTGGGATCTTGGAGGTAGGGAATGAGGAGATGTTGGTCTAAGAATATAAAGTTTCCATCAGACTAGATGAATAATTTCTGGAAATCTTTTATATATCACAGTGACTATAGTTAATAATAAGGTGTTGTATACTTAAAAATTGCTAAGAAAATAGATAATAAATGTTCTCACCACAAAAAAATGGTATGAGGCAATGGATATGTTAATTAGCTTGTTTTAATAATTTCACAAGGTGTACATATATCAAAACATGTTATATACCATAAATATATATAATTTTTATTTATCAATTATACTGTATTTATCAATTATACTATATAAAGCTAAAGGAAGTAAAGCTAAAACCAGACATTTTCATCCACAAAAACAAATCAATAGCATGGAATGTCAGCCTTTCAGGCAGACAGTCTTCAGAGAACTCAACCATGAATTGATGCTTCGCTGGCCTTTGCCAAAGGCTTGCTTGAGACATCTGATATTTGATAGAAGCAGTTAGCAGGTCTGTTAACCACCCATACCGAAATACTAACCTTTTCCTATGTTGTCAAGATATTAGGAAGCAACACACTGGACCACATATTTTTCAAACCCCTGTAGAAATGTTTTTAAAGTGTTAAAGTTTAACAGTTTTCTCTTCCTCTCATCCTCTTTTCCTGCCCAAGGGCTACATGGCAAAAATGGTTTTTTTCTGACTATGGCACTCACTTCAGCGGCATTTTCTTCTCCCCCAGCCTTTCATTTTGTCATGATAATTAATCCCATGTGAATGCTTCTCTATCTTTCACAGATTGGAGCTGAGAACATTACCTAATATGTTACTCAATGGCCTTTATAAACAGGCATCCCAGATTCATCCTTGCATTGAGTTTCAAAAATAATTGCCTATAAAATTGTTTTATTTTGAAAAATGAAAATTATGTAATCTAGTTGACTTAATTTTTACCTTACCTTATCAGGGCACTGAGAGCTAAATTCAGTGTCCATTTTCAGTAAATGACTCATTTCCCATTTGCTGAAAAAGATCACAGATGGATTGGTGCCACTAGGAATTCATGGTCACCAAGTTCCATGAGCTTTCCACAGTGCCTAGCAACCCAACTATTTCCCTAATCTTCTCTCTCCATCCCATAAAACTTGAATTTCTCTCTTTAATCCGCATAGTCCGACGTCTTCTACCTACTTGCACACTTCTATTTCTTAGAAATAAAATAGCATCAGCTCCCTCAAATTTGTCCTATACCCTTACCACTTGTAATGTATCCACTCTCCCTCTGTGTTTGCCTATTTTTACAATAGAAGGGGGCTCCTCCCCCTGCTTCAGGGTAGCCACTCACCAGCACCAGTGATAACTGTAAATACTGCTCATTGAATATTTAGTAGGTGCTGGCCAATATGCTAAGCATTTTATAAGTATGATTTAACTTTCATAAAGATTAGAAAATTATGGCTTAGAGAATTTGTTCAATCCAAGGCTATACAACTGATCTGTGAAGAATCCAACTGTTGACCCTCCAGAGCCTGTGTTTTTACCCCCTAAATATAGGCTGCCAAGATGTGCCCTGCATCCTGCTTCCTCCTGTCTCCTCAGCGTAAGACTTGGTCAACAGTACCCTCTCTTCTTCACCTTTTTTTCTTCTGCTTGCCACACATCTGTTATTTAAAGCATTTAGACGTCTCTTCAATCAGTAGCACAGCATTTTTCATAGTGATTAAACATGCTCCTATCTCCCATCCTAAAATGTATTCTTTCTACTCTACAAATTAGAGTAAATATCATCTGCACAACTCCCCCGGCTTCTCCCTACAGACCGTCATGTTGGAAGGGTCATTTCCATTCATCTCCATTTCCTGACATTCTGTTGGCTACTCAAACTAGCGCACTATACTTTCTACTCTTACTACTTCGCTGAATTTGTTTATGTCAAAGATGGATAAATCTTTGTCTTGAAGTCCAGTGGGAATTTTTTCGAATCTTGTCTCACTTGATTTCTCATTTGACATAATTTTATTCACTCATCTTGAAACTTTCTCCTTCCTTGTCTTTTATGTTCCCATAGGTGCCAGACATCTTCTGCTAGTCCCTGCAGATCCACTGTCCACCTCACTGTACCCTGTAGTTGGCCCCAGGAGACTGTGCCATGTGGACCTCCTTCGCAGTTTCCCTTGTCCTCTGCCATCTGGTTAGGTTCAGCCAACGGGGAATTCTGGCAGGAGACTGGCAGGAAGGAGGAGAGCAAGGTTGTATTTATTCCACTGACTCATGTAAGGACAAATGGAAATGAAAACTTAAGAGGCTTATTTCTTCCTGTTTAAAATAAGGGAAGAGACTTCTGCCCTTCTCTTTTCTTAGAGCATATACCTTAGAAAACGTGTCATGGTAAATTATCTTTGTGTCACTTTGAAGTGTGTGTAAATATTTTTAGAAGCAAAATAAGCCTCTTGCCAACTTTGTAAACCTGGAATGTCTTTCTCAAGGACCTGGAAGCCATCTCCTTGAAATAGAAACAAGAAGATACCACCCTTATCTCTCAGTTTCTGTGGGAGCCTAACTTCAGTGGTTGCTTTGTTCTAAGTTGCAAAACTATGTCTTGACATAAGATATAAAAAATTTGTTGTTCCTCTGTATAAAGCCAAGTAGCTAACACAGATGGTCACTCCAATTACCAAGTGAGTTAAGGATTAACTATGTGTGATAAATGGTGCTGTCAAGTCATTTTAATTCAGGACCAGTTGATGTTTATCTTGAAAACATATATGGAAGGGGTTGTATGTTTGGGAGTGTATGAAAAGATGAGATTTCTTTCTTTGCAATCTTTTAGCAGATTTCTCTTAGTGATTTGCACAATATCCTAGTTCAATGCTTATTCAATAATAAAACTATTTTCTCTCTCTACTATTGTTGGGCCGCAGAAATGTACAGCCCGTGTGGGGGAGAGACGACCGCTCAAAAAAAGACTCAGAGTCCAGAGACTTGATGCAATAGCATGAGGATTCATTTACCAGCGCGCGCAGGGGCAAGCGAGCTAAGGAAGCTGCCGCCCCGACCTTTTTTTCCTTAGGATTTTTATAGACAGAAAACCAACGCTAGTGGTAGGGTCACAGGGTGGGGGAAAGTTTCCATGGGCTTCGACCTGCACCAAAGTACCAGATGAGCTCCATGTCCGGAATTTCTAATCTGGCCAGTGATTTCCAAGGAACTAAGGGCGGGGATGTACGAGTGGCGCCAGTGAGGGGAGTGAGTAGGGTGAGCGAGCGGAGTTTACAGAAGCAGAAGCAAGGTTGATTTTCCACACTATCTTTTGTGGAGAGGTTTTCTGGGTTGGGAGAAGATTTTGTTTTCAATTATATTTCCCCAATACTCTCTCTTTGCAGAGTCACTTGGGTCTTGCTGAGTCCTTCCACCTGGAAGCTCTGCTCCTCTCAAGCTCTCTTTGCATGATGATTCTGTTCTCTGGTCCCCATAACTAGTTCCTCCTTTCCTCCCTGTGGCTAATGAGTGGTCACAGCTCCCTGTTACTAACCCTAGGCTAAGGCACAATCCCTTGTGGCTGCCTTTCATCTTGTCAACACGTAGTCACATAGACCCTTTATTAAACCCTCCTCAAATGATTCTGATTTGAGTGTGCATTGCAGATGAGGGTCTCTGGAAGCAGATACTGAAAAGGAGTCTAGGATATTTAGTAAGCATTGACATCTGTGAATGGATGAGAAGAAGGAGAGTAGAACCTTGATGCAGCTCTAGAAGAGGCTTCAGACAGCCCAGAGGAGCACATATGGTTCATGAGAATTGTCCTGAGACAAAATGTCCGGATTTTCTACCCCTGTCAGAATGGGGTATTGGCCCAGGAAGAATGTGCTCTTGAATGAGGAAGCTCATTGCTACCAAGGCAAATCCTGAAGGTGCTCACAGCTAAAGCTGTCTGTTAACAGTGCTCCCAGGAAGCTGGGCAGCAAGTCCTTCCTTAAAGTGGAATCTGGTGGCACATTGCCGGTCCCCCAGAGACCACCCTTGCACCACTCTATTCTATATCTTGATATACATTTGGGGAGACGTTTCTCTTCCTTCTGGTCTCTTAAAAAAGAAAGGCTAATTGGACAAACTCTAGCTCCCACCGCAGCTGATCTCAGGGCTACATCACTGCCCAAGGATGCTAATCGTCTCCACTCTTTGTTCTGTGGTACCTTCTTCTTCAGCTGTCTCCTCTGCCCATCTGGATGTTTTACTTAACAGCTAATCCATATCATCACCCAGAAGGGACCTGAGCCCTAATTGCCATGGGCTTTCAGGATGCCTTTGATCTACTTGTCTATTTACTTTCACAACTGGGCACAGGAATATGAAGAAACATCCCAGTGTAGCATTTGGATGCCACCATATATTCCTCCCCTGCCCCATTCATAGCAGCCTTGCCTCTTCTTGATAATTCTCAAGGAAAGAATTATTGTTTAGAGATATATTTGTACTCAGGTAATTACTTGGCAGTTGACACTTTAGAAAGCATAAGGTTTAGATCAGTTTTAAATTTTTTAAAAAATAGATCTTTGCCAGGGTGT